TTTGAAATACAAAAACCAATATAGTCGAACCAGATTGAAGTTGGTGTCTACTTCAATAAACCTTATTCGAATCGATATAGTTCAAACAAAAGTGATATAAAACAATAAACATTTTACATTTTTCTTTCTATCCACTTACTTTGCACGAGTCTGTAGTGATGATGAGCAGGTTGTGGCAGCAGACAAGCTTGTTGTTGTTGCTGTTGAGATTGTTGCTGTTGTTGAACGTATCCGGAGCGTCGGGAGGCTGTTGCTGATTGGACTGTTGCTGGGGCTGAGGTTGACCGAGACAGCTGCGGGGGCGGTTTGCCCAGAGCCATCGCGTGTGCGGCCGCAGCCGCGGCGGCGGCGTGCGTATGCGGCACTATGCCCACGTGCGCGAACGCTCATGAGGGGATGCTGGCCTGGCGCGGGCCCATGTTGGGCACGTACCGAGACACCATGCTTTTTTTCGGGAGATTATTGGGGATGGATCAGTCGAGGGTGTATTCGATCGCACTAGGGAAGGTGACGCACGCGAGTCAAACCACTGCCGTGGGGTGTGACAACACCCGCATGCACAAGCGCATGCCCCGCACTCTTGTGATTACGCTGCTCTCGCCGTATTTGTATTACTCCGACTACTAGCACGTTCCTCCTGCGTGCGGTGCGTGACCGCCTGTTATTAGGAAGATCCTTCCAATAAATCCTATCCTCTGTTCGCCGACGGTACGGTATTTTACTGCTGATCAGCTTCGATATTTGAATAAAATTGCTTATAGGATTGATTTAGTCGACCGAGTAAAAGACTCGCCATTTTTGCTCCGTGCTGCGACAGAGCTCCGACAGTTGTTATTACTGCCTTATAGTAATTGCCGTTAAAGAAAATGCATAGGAATTCCGCATGCGTTGATAACGGTGGTTTCTTATTCACAATCACAAAATAAAGTTTCTATTCAATTAATGTGCGTATTTACTACTAATTAAATAACTTACACTGTAGAGTCACAATAGTAAAAAAATCTTTAAACTGATCTGATTATCTTACTAAACTAAAAGTTTTTTTTTCAACTGTAATATTATAAAAATGATCTCAGAATGTTATCACTAATAGTCCTTTGTTTGATGTGCATTTTTACACGCACCGGTACGACGTGAAGTCAAGATTACATACACTGCAAATAGAACACACTTTTAGGAATTGTGCTATGACATAGATGCATATTACCCATACTACAAGTATTTTACTATTTAATTACAACATGCTCACAAAATTAATTTGATTATAAGAACATAGTTTCAGGCAAGTCTAAAACAACAAATTACTAATTTCAAATATTTGCTACAAATGATTCTGTTACAATGCAATTTATTTAAATAAGATAATGTTATTGTATAGTTTGATATATACGTGAGAAAAAGCTTGATTTTTCAAGTTCTCACGATTAACTAGCCGCGTGAGTATCTGTCACATCTCATAATTCACACGAATATTTCTAACTGATATTATTTGTCAAATTCATACATGGCTACAATAGTTAAATAGTATCTATTAAGGTAATGATATCGTCTTAAAGACCACGCTTTATGCAGGCGTTTGTAAGAAAATCGATAACCGCACAAAGTGACGCCCTGTTTGTGTGAAAAAACCTCATAGAAATATGCATCTACGTGTAAAACACAATTCTACAACATATCTACTCACTATAAAGATCACAAAGTCATATTGTCATTTAATTGAACACAATTTCTGTCTTTCACATAAAACACCTTTATAAAAATAAAAAATAAAAAAAACACATATGATCACAAAAACATAACGCGTTATGTCAAATCGCCATCTTGTGGATATGTTCGTAAGAAAATCGAAGTGTCCACATGGTTCGCGGTCTCTCTCTAACACATAGGGATTGACATAAGTCGCGTGAGATAGAGCATACGGCGGAGAGTTCATTTTGGAGAGAATAAAGTACGATGGTCGTGTGTGCGACTGCCGCTAGAGTTTAGAGCGGCGCTTTAAACACAACCATGCGGAACATAGCGGCGAAACGTCAAAACAAAATGTGGCGGGAGCGAAAGCTTTTTTGAATTTAAAGGAAAATTATAAAAACGTATATTATCGTAATAATCGTCTAACCCTATGCTTAATAATAATAGATATATAATTTTGAAATAGCTCCTATGCATATGGATATAAGTTAAGGTAATATACCAAAATATTTATTGTATTTAATTTTTGTCTGCTGTCTGTTTTGTCTATTTGGGTTAACCTCCGAAACGGCTTGACCGATTTTAACAAAACTTGTTGGTCGCTGATGTAATTGGACGTAATTTAAGCTGCTTTGAATTGAGAAAATAAGTCTCTTTTTAAAAATTAACTACGATAACCAAAAATTAGTCATAATTTCACTAAAGCTCTAGGTTGCACTTTAAAGCTCATAATTTTCAAACAACGTGAAAAACTTTTTTTTCTAATTTTTTTCAGAGCAGGAAGTTAAGGTCAATACTATCACCCCGTTTCGGGTTTGACGTTGAGTTCTAGTAAATGGTATATGCAATAACAATGTAAACATTTTATTTGTTAAATTCCACGTGAAGAAAGTGGCAAACACGTTAATAAAAAATCCTTTTAATGAAATTATATAATAATAATATAAACTAGTGGTGTATGGCATCGTGCCTTAAGGCAAACTGCTGTAACTTCCCGTACCGTAATAAAATATTCGAGAAATTTTAAACGTTTTCAAATATATTATTACAAATACTGTAAATTTCATTATTTTTGCTATCTTGTTATATTTGAGCAAATCAAATGTAAATCATAAATCAATTTATCTCCAGAACATTAACAATCGTCATTTCATTTCGAATTCAATTTAAAAAAAAAGTTGCTCAATTTACACAAAATTGAATAAGTGCTCCCATATAGTCACAGTCTAAACGCATTTGCAAATAATTCTGTGCGACATTTCCACTTATACTATGCTTAGCTTGGCGGCATTTTCACATTTTTCAATAGTTTTCACAAAATTGGAAAAGTGCTAAATGCACTTGGGTAAACATTTGCACCAGAGTGGCGCTTAGACTGTGCTTAGCCTGAGTGATTTTTTGAATTTTTAATCCAAAATTACAAAAATATTTTTTGAAAAAAAATTAGAAACAATTTTTTTTCCAAAAGCAATTATTTTGTTGAAACAAGCAGAAAATTCTTTGAATCATTTAAATCGGACGCTTAGTTCTCTCAAAACTGCCATTTTTTTTAACATTCAGTTCTGTATCTCCGAAACCGCTAGGTCTACCTTTGCTAAAAAACTAATAACCGTCATTACGAACTGAATGTTTTTTGGATCATACAAATCGGATGATCCGTTCTCTCAAAAACTCGATTTCTATTTTTTGCACTCTTTGCTCCATATCTCCGACACGGCTGGACCTGCCTTTGCCAAAAACTAATCAGCACATCTTCCTATTAATAGGAATCGAATGTTTTTTAAACCATACAAATCGATTGATCCGTGCGCCCGAAAACGTGGATGTAAAAATGCGGACATACAAAACACACACACACATCCATTTTTCAAAATGTTCAGAAACCATTAAAACGTCGATTTTCGGCCCATTACTATAACTACCCTACGGGAAGTTAATAAATTCTTTTAACATAATTAATAAAATTGAAAGTTAAGGAATTCTTGAAGTCACATAGTACTATTATATAATAGCTATATAATAAATTAATATATCTTGATATAAAGA